AAAAAAAAAAGAAGAATGAACTACAAATATTTAGTCTTAAATGCTCAAATTTCAATTTGGCAAGATTCTAAATTGCTGTAGAAGTACTCGACGATTTCTGTTGTGGTCAAATTGGTCTCAGAAAAGCCTATATGAAGTATGACTTAATGCTTTTTGATAGCAGACCACCCGATGCTGACTCAAAGGTTCAAGAAAGTAAGTTGCCTATTCTCAACTCTTTTTGCGTTAACCAGCTATAAAAAACAGTATTAAATTTTAAAATTTTGGCGTTTTTTTAAATCTGTTTTGTTGAACTATGCTGTTTTGGCAGTACTTTCCACACTGAAAAACTTTTTTGCTTGGTTACGTGGTCTTAGTGGAAAGTGCTGGCTGTTCAAAGAAACTAAAGTTTATAATTTTTGTCGCTATCACCTTTTTTTTGTACCTATTAGAAACTGTATAATAGTGAAATTTTACGTCAAATGCTGCTTGCACTACCGGTGTATACAATTAGCAGTGTAAATAATTAGCTTTGAAACTTGTAGAGCTTCAGGAAAAGCTCTTTAATGCTCTAAGCTGTTAGACGGTCTCAAACCATCAAACCTGAATACTTTTCATCATTTATTGGCACTGTATGCAACTGAAAAATTTAGAGCTTTCTGGATGCACATCGGAAGCTTTTCATACATTGTGCGTCGTCATCAATATTCACTGATAGCCATCAGAAACCAACAAGTTAACTATGCACTTTTGTGTCCATTTTTAGTATTGTGAAAATTGGAAACTGAACAAAAGGGAGGGAAGGGGGTGGAGAAGAAGACGAATGCCTTTTTAGTCAGTAACTTTAGAAATGTCAAAGAAATTTTTTAACGAAAAATTTGCAACAAAGCAAAACGTACTCGAAAAAACCATGATAATCAGCAGAAGAGTAAAGAAATTTTTCGTTTCAACAGGGCCATTTTGACATCTTAGACTAAAACCTCGTATGATCAAATTTGTCTCTCTTAAGCTCTATCTAACAACTAGCAGTGGAAAATCTGCTTATTTGTTTTTTTTTCACGGTTAGCGTTCATTAGTGCCGTTTCGCGTTTTGCTCCTTCTCTTTCGTTGAAGAACTCTGCTTACTTTCAAAAAACCAGCGAAATTTTTTTTAGTTTTTGTTTTAAGTTGTGACAAAAATTGAATGAACAAAAGTCATAGATCAACAACATCTATTCATTCGTCTGTCTATCTATCTATCCCAACAATTCGTTTATTCATCCATCCACCCATCCATCGCAATAGTTTTGGAATAACAAAGCTTCGTTGCTGAGCGCGATAACCAGCATCAGCTCTGCCGTTTTTGAAGAAAGCACACATTTACATACAGCGTAATTCAATTATTGAAGTCTCTAACCAAATTTGCCCTCATAACCTAATCTTCTTTGGCCATCTGTCATCTAGTCCTTTTTTTTAAAACAAACTTCTCGCAGTAATTAGCAGTCTTCTTATGACCATTGTTTCAGTAGTACAAAATAGTATATGATGATGTGAAAAAAAAAAGTATTCAAGATCTCTGAATAATTGTTTTCCCTTCATTAAGAAGATTTTATACAACAACAGTTTGGATTTTCTTGGCTACCGATCCGCTTACTGCTTGACGACAGACTGCGCGCCCTTTGTCGCCAGAAGCAAATATGAGCTTCTCCGCGTTTCTTTACAATACATCAGAATTTCTCATTTAACTGGTTCAAAATTTGTCAATTTTTGGTTTTTACACCATTACTAGAGAAAAATTGTATGAGCCTCTTAACTATTTGAGTAATTGCAGTCATGCTATCGATCAAGACAAAACTGTTTCAGCATTTAGTAGATTTACGCTTCTTTCTTCTGCTTCTAAAAGCTCATTTGATTACTGCAATGTTGAAAAACAATTTAAAGTTGTGTAGCTAGAAAACAGCTATCATTTTAGTTGGCATACCAAACGAGGAAGTTAAAAATTACTAATTTTTTATTATTGGATAAAATGATGAAATACGACCTTATAAGGTTGTCTCTAGTTCCATTAATTATACAAAACAAAAAGGAACTGCAGAAATTTGGGTTTCTCTTTTTTTAAAAAAAGACTGAAATTTCAGTCAATTGTGAAGTTTGTAAAAACAACAAAAAAAAAGTGATTTTACTAATTAAAAAGAACTGAATGTATTGTCAAACAAGCAAGAAGGCAAAAAAAAAAAAAAGAATAAGCAATGGAATAACTGACGTTCGAATGGTTAAATAAGCAATAAACTTTCTTTCACTTTGCTGCCACTTTTCCCATTTGTTTTCTATGCTCCGTT